CGTAACCCCCCCCCCCCTCCCCTCTTGTGAAACGAGAATAGGTCGCCCTCATGAACGAAGGCTACGCCCCCCGTCCGGTCCCGGGCCTGCCGCTGGAGTCCTGGCCTCTCCAGCGCTCCCTGGGGCTTGGCGACAATGAAAACAATCCTCCTCTGGGGAAAGGAGACCTCATGCGAAGCAGAACTCCCGCCGACGTCATGCAAATGTGGGGAAAATTCCTAGCGCTGTCCGTGGACGTCCCGCAGGGCCCGTGCCTGGGCGACGATCCTGGGGCCCCCGCGGGTTGCTCGCGGATGTGGATGTACGGGAGCGAGGCCTGGGGCGCGCTTAGGGAGCGCTGTCGGGCTGGCTTAGCTGTCGCTGGTGCTGGGGGGGCGGGGGGGGAGCGGGGACGGCCAGGGAAGTTGGAGCCGCTAGAGGTAGCGTGTGCGGTGGGGGACGTGGCGAAAAGGGGGGACGACTGGGGGCTGGAGGCTGTGCACGTTTGTGGGGCAGGGCCGCGGGGAGATGAGGAGTGGCAGCGTGCGCGTGTTTGGGAGGTGTACCCTCCCCAGGGAGGGGGTTAGCACACGCGTGGTTGAGGGCCTCCGCTTTGTCTTTGTTGTCGCTTGTTATTGCGTGAAGTTGTGAGAGAAGCTTTGTCGTTGAATCAGATTATGGTCTGTGAGTTTTGCAGTACATGTAGCCCGTGGATGGGTGGCGGGAGGATGTGCCTACGTTGTCTCTGCAAGAAGCGACTGGTCAGGACAAGTGATACGTGGTACACACCGTATATTTCCCGCCGCTGACAGCAAGCAGCACGTTTGACAACACGCATTTCACAACACAGCGAAAGTGTCCCGCACGGGGCGTTTTTCCACGTCTGAGATGATGGCGTCACGCGATTTGCTCTCGTCTCGGTTTTGGCTGTTTTTTATATGTGCTTGCCCTGGTTGATCCTCGCCTGTGGTCTTACAGAAAACCTGATACCAACAACTACCGGCATCTCGGCTCGTTCCGCCGGTTACCAGCCAGTAGCGATGGAGAGGGAGAGGGAAAACGGCTACACACACCAGTGAGTGGTATGCGTGCTGTCCCTCCTCGGTGTAGTGTTGGTTTGATTGCGGTGGCACGGCTGGGTGTAAAGTAGTGCACTGCGGATTCTCTGTTGAGTAGAGAGACGGGCAGGTCGGTACAGGCGGAGGCGATGCAAGTGCCCCCCCGCACGAATTCGTTGCTCAGTGGGGACATTGCATGGTTCCGTTTGCGCATTGGCGCACTCTTGTGGGGGGAGCATATATTATTCGTGCTTGGTTGATTTCGTCTCTGTTACGGTAGGAGGTTGCGTTCGCTTCCCATGTTGTAGTATTGGATTTAGTTTGTTTTCGGTTTCGGCTTTCAAAGGACCTCTAATGTGTATTTCTTGTGTGTAACTTGGTGGACATGTGGGGGTGTAAACGCATCGCGTTGGACGTGAGTAAAATGTCGCGACCACAGCAATAATGAATCGATGTGGGGGCTCGACTCGATGTTGTTTTCACCCCTGTCAAGTTCCTTTTCTGACACGGGGGGATGCTTTTGACTCGAATCGTGTGTGCTGTAACGCGTTCACTACTGCTACAGCAGCTGTGTGTCTTGTGGTGCGTTGCAGGTGCTGGGGTACTCACTCTGCTACGCTTGTAGATGCGCGGCGCCCCTCTTGCTGTACATTGCTGGAGTGCATGCTTGGGGTCGATATTCGTGGTGTTTGTCCCGTGTTTTTTGCTCAGGCCATATGCAAGAAAAGGGTACAGTAGCCATATGCAGAAAAGGGTACAATAGTCTCAGCTATTCTTGGGAGTATGTTTGTGTGTTGCTTGTTGCACCACCGCGGAAGAGCCTGGTACGCTTTGGCCATACAGCGGAGGTTCGTTGTTCGCTGTCCAATCTCGTCGAGCTCTGTCGCTCTTGTTCGGAGTTGTCGAAAGGAGGATGTATCACCAGAGTTACTCCCCTTCCATCCCCTCGTCTGTCAGGCTACGTTGGCCTTGTATTGTATCTCGTGAGTTAGGATATTAGAGCATTCTTGAGAGATTTTTGTCTTGTGGCTCGGAGTCCGTCGTACTTTCCATTTACCTTTTGTCGTATGATACCATGGTATGTTTATTCCACACCGTGTCGTGGCCAAGTATGCATGTATTGTGTATGTGTGTGATGCTGCTGTCTTCAATTGATGAAGTTCATGCTACGGGATTCGAAAACGACGCTGTGTAGATGCGGTCAGTTCCTTACAGCCAACACAATGAGCGTCCCGTGTTCTTGATTCCATAGAGAATGGCCTGACCAGCCGCAAGTGCCCAACTCGGGTCGATAATCAATCAATCCGCTCGTAGGGTATGGACAGTTGCTGTTGCTTGTTTGTGTGGTTGCACCGGGGGGGGCATGCCAGACTTCGAGCATCGAAATTGGCACCAGACAAAACGAGGTTTTCATGTCCAGCCCAACCAAGGCGTGAGATTGATTGGCATTCACGAAAAGGGCGGATTTTACTTTGGTTTCAGACAGGTGTCCATGCTTGAGTGTTTTACCTCATCTCTCTCGCATGTGTCGCTTGATCCTCGCCTGATCCTCGCTTGATCCACGCGCACGCTTTCATAGGCCTCTTCCTGCTTGTTTTGACGGGTACTCGCATTCGAGAAGCCAGCCGCAAACATAAGGGGGACCGGCCAGTCATAAATACTCGCATCATCCCCGTGCAGGCATTAACAACAAACGCTCGTCGGATCGAACCAGTGGCGCATCAATGTACGTATGGTCCGTTTCCGGAAAAATTCACAATATTTTCCCCTGCACAAAGGTGCACTTTTCTCGGGGTGGGGGTACTTACTCCGAATTCTGAAAATACCGCGTAAATCGACGTTTCAAGGCGCATCTTCGTACGGAGATTTTTTTTTTTTCGTCCTTCGCTCGATATGTTCAGATATTCAAGAAATCTTGCTTTACTTTCTGGGGGGCGGTGTTTTTTGCAGACACAAAATCTGGGACCGGATTTGGACAGCCCTCGTGATTTGCCACCGATGATTTTTTTCCGATTTCCAATTTGACAAAAAATAAGGGAGTTATGCAAGTTGAGTTATGGGCAAAAAACCGGGTATTGGAGGGTATTTTGCTTAGTTTCTTGGGGACGATCCAACCGTTGTTGTTGTTGTTGTCTTCACATTAAAAACCATCCCGGTCTCTCTATCCAGTACCTCCTTCTGTCTCAATCTCTCCGTACTAATCCAGCACTTGA